CAATCGGATGCACTTTTTAAAATTGATTTTGCATTAGAAACATAACTACAGTACAGGAAATTGAAAACTGAGAAAAGAACGACAGCTGACTCCCAACCCCGCACTCCTCCCCAGCACTGCCGCACCTCGGAGGGTTCTCTTCCCCCCCACTTCCTGCTCCATAATGACCACACTGCACACTTCTCACCACCCCAGAGAGACAGCCGAATCACAACAGATGCCAGCCCCTGCTCATCCCGGGGCACAGGGCGTAAAGTCGCCCAGTGCTCAGGGTGGCATCTGCCCTTGAATGTTTTCTCCTCCCTCCGGGTTCTGACAGGGGGCCTGTTGTTCAATCTCTCAGTCTGTCCGACTCTTTGCGACCCCATGGACTGCAGCACATCAAGCTCTTCTGTCCTCCACTATCTCCTGGAGCGTGCTCAAACTCATGTCCATTGAGTCAGTGATGCCATCCAACCACCTCATCCTCTATCATTCCCTTCTCCTCCTGCCTTCAATCTTTCCCAGCATCAGGGTCTTTTCCAATGAGTCAGGTCTTCGCCATCAGGTGGCCAAAGTATTGGAGCTTCAGCTTCAGCATCAGTCCTTCCAATGAATATTCAGGATTGATGTCCTTTAGGATTGACTGGTTTGATCTCCTTGCAGTCCAAGGGACTCTCAAGACTCTTCTCCAACACCACAGTTCGAAGGCATCAATTCTTCAGTGCTCAGCCACCCAGTAGGCAGTTGACCTACTGGAAACCTCACTTGACCTCTCTGGAAACTGTTCCATCCCTCCAGAGTTCATGGTCTGTCCTTTTGACACAAAAATTTTTTGCCCCAGCAAATGTGGTAGAAAGACATCCAGGCTGGTGTAGTGATGTGTTAACAGACAGACAGGAATGTAAATTTCAGTAGACACACCCTTTTCTGTCCTACTCTTAAAATGTAACGTTATGTCACAAGGATCTCACATGGTGATTACACAGTGACTGCAGCCATGCTGTTACAAGGCCATGTAACATTCCTGAGAGGGGCGGGCAGCTCCACTCATTCCTACACTCCGGCCCTTGTGCTTAGATGTCAGAGCCAAAAGCCACAACAGACGCACCCCCTGTCCTCATGTTGCTGCCGCGGTTCCTAAACCACTCCCCAGTCACAGAGCTTTCATTCTTTACAAAGTGCATTATTATTATAAGTGCATTATTTCCTGGGTGCAACATTGTCTTAGGACAGCCCTTTAAAACACTTTCTACTAAAACAGAGGAGCGGAAATGAACAGCCCACAGCTGTGAATTCCAGAGTTCCAGTTTCAGGAGCAGCCTAATGGGTTGGGTTGGCTGCAGTGGCCTTAAGGGATATCTGAGCTCACCTACAATCCTGCGTCCTTACTGACAGGTTGTATTGACAATGTGTCACAAAAGATTCCCTTTGAGTTAATCCATAACAACACGTCCACAAGTCAGCGAAGGGAACTCACTGAAGGTCACCCGGGAAGCTACAGGGAGGAGCTGAGATAGCATCCTCTATGCCTCACCCGCTGGCAACAGCCCTGGAAAAGGTGGTAATAATAGCAAGAGTGATAATAACAACAAAAATAACAGTAACATAGTAACAGTAATAACAGCCACAGCTGATACTGTGTGTTGAGAACTGTGTTAAGGGCTCTATGTGGGTTATTATTTAACCTAGTTCTTTACTGAAATATAAGCACATATAGAAAGTACACAATTAGAAAGCACACAATTCACATGCCTACAGGTGGAGGTAATTTCTCAAAGTGGATACACATACGTTTCTGTCACCCAGACTCAAAAAGCAGACCCCTTCTCCCCAGAAGCCCCCCTCGGGCCCCTCCCAATCACCCCTTTCTGAATGTCTAACTCCATAGATGAGCTTTATCTGTATGAACTTTATAAAAACAGAATCCTACCCCAAAGCACATAGAATACTGGTCAGTATTGGAGGAAAGTGTCATGGTCAATCCCACGTCACTCACAGCCTGTCAGGTTCTAGTCTAAACCCTTCACTCCTGTCATCTGAGCCTCTCAACGACAGCAGGGGACAAGTGCTGTCACCACGGTCATTTTGCAAATGAGGGACTGAGGCAGGGGGCTCCCACAGGACCCAGGCCCTCTGGCACCAGAGGCCACACTCCCAACCCCATCCTCATCAGCTCCATTGTACAGAAAAGAGATTTTTACAGCTCAGAGGGGGTGAACCCCTTGAGCAAATCCTACGCCCAGGGGTGGTGCAGCCACCCTCCAGGGCCTGACTCCAGCCTGTCCACCTGATGACCGCCCCAGCCCCGCCCCAGTCCACTGACACTCACGCCCCCTCGTCCTCCCCTCCCCCAGAGGTCTTCGCAACAGCCGGGCCACGGCCGGCGACATTGCCCACTATTACAGCGACTACGTGATCAAGAAGGACCTGAGCCACAACTTCGTGTCCAACGCCGTGGTCACAGCCGTGGAGTGGGGGACGCCCGAGCCCAGGAGCCCTGGGGCCCGGGACCCCAGCCCGCTCTTCCAGGTGAGCGGCTTCGTGACCGCCAAGGACCAGAGCCAGCAGTCCTTCTCCCTGAGTGCCCGCAGCGTGGTCCTGGCCACAGGGACGTCTGACAGCCCGGCCCGCCTGGGCATCCCCGGGGAGGCCCTGCCCTTCGTCCACCACGACCTGTCGGCCCTGGAGGCAGCCACGCGGGCAGGCACGGTGTCCCCGTCCTCGGACCCCGTCCTCATCATTGGGGCAGGGCTGTCGGCCGCAGACGCGGTCCTCTACGCCCACCACTACAACGTCCCTGTGATCCATGCCTTCCGCCGGCCCGTGGACGACCCTGGCCTGGTGTTCAACCAGCTGCCCAAGATGCTGTACCCCGAGTACCACAAGGTTCACCAGATGATGCGCGAGCAGTCCATCCTGTCGCCCAGCCCCTACGAGGGCTACCGCAGCCTCCCGGAGCACCAGCTGCTACTCCTCAAGGAGGACCGCCAGGCCGTGTTCCGCGACCCCCAGGGCCTCCAGAAGGTCTTCGGCGTGGCCCTGGTGCTGGTGCTCATTGGCTCCCACCCTGATCTGTCCTTCCTCCCGGGGGCGGGCGCCGACCTCACCGTGGACCCCAACCAGCCCCTGAGCGCCAAGAGGAACCCCATTGAGGTGGATCCCTTCACCTACCAGAGCATCCACCAGGAGGGCCTGTACGCCGTGGGGCCGCTGGCCGGGGACAACTTTGTGCGCTTCGTGCAGGGCGGGGCCCTGGCCGTGGCCAGCTCCCTGCTGCGGAAGGAGGCCAGGAAGCCACCCTAGCGCCTGGCCCAGGCAGGGCCTTACACCCAGGCCCTAAGAGGAGGGAGATCACCACAGCCCTGCCGGATGCACAGTGCGTCCCAAGATGCCCCAGTGATGGAAGGGGGCCTCTCCTGCAGGAGACAGGAGCAGCCATGAGCCCACACCACAGGCCTCTCAGATGAAGAGTGGGAAACCCAGACTGCCCGGACTCAGACCAGGGTGGAAACAGTGGCCACAGGACACGGTAGGCCCAGAGCTGTAATTGGGGGTGAAGTGGCCCGTGTGAGCTGGGATCACCAGGGCCCGCGGAGCACCGAGCCAGGAGGACTTCCAGGCCCTGCTCTTTCCAGAATCAGGTCCCAAATAAAACCAGCGCCTGCCTCCACTCCTGTGTCTGAGGACTCTCTGCTTGGGGAGGGGGCCAGGTGCCCAGGACCCTGCCCCCGGGAGCTGGGGAGTCAGGGCAGGGGCAGAAGCACAGGGTCGTGTGGGAGAGGGTCCCGGGGCTGGGGGACACTGGGCGATGCCCCAAGGGGAAGGGCAGATGTGACTGAGGAGTGGGTGCTGGGGAGGCTTTCCCAGCCCCGCCCACCCCTCGGGTCTAGTCCCACTCACTCCCTCTCCCTTCAGTGGATCCTCTGTGTTCTCCACACTTGCACCTGCCACAGGGCCTTTGCACAGGCTAAGCTCTAGCCCAGGGAACTTCCCCATCCTCTCTTTAACTCCTCCTCCTCTTACAGTCTCTGAGCATAAGGACCATTTCCTCTAGGAAGCCTCTTCTGACATATGCCCCTCCGTGGCCTTAAGGTAGAGCCCACTCTGGTGGGTCAGGGTGCCACCCCTTCATTGCAGTTCAGTTCTCACTCTTCATTATTTGTGGGGTCATTCCAGTATCTGGCTCCGCCCACTTGGCTGTAAGCTCCAGGAGGCCAAGGCAAGCCCTCGTCTGTTTTTTCGCTGTTCTTGGAACCCAGTGCGGCCACTAGGCCTAGCACCCAGCAGGGGCGCCTTTAATTCTCTGGTTCTGTGGGTGGGGTCTGGAAGGATGGACGTGGGGAGTATGAGGGGAAGAGGGTGTTCCAGGCATAAAGAAGACTAGTTCTGGGCGTTAACGCGCGGGAGAGGTCTGAGGGGCGTGCACCCTGTGGAAGTGGGTACTTGCGGAGTGGAGCAAGTGGCCCCGCTGTGTGGGCGCGCGTTCCCCGGGCTGCAGGCAGCCGGCAGAGGGCGCTCCGGGTTCGCCGGACACCGAGCTCCGGCCCCAGCGGCGGCGGCGCCACGGCGCGGGGAAGGCGGGGATTCTTCCGGAGGGCGGGCAGGGGGAGACTTTCGGAATGGGGGCAGCCCCCAGGAATGCACCCCCGAACCCATACCCGCCACCACCCTGCGCCTGCCAGGCAGCCCCCTCCGCGGCCGGGCGGGGGTCTAGCTCCCCAGCCCCGCGCCCCTGCCAGCAGCCCCCTGCTGCCGCGCCCGGCCGCCGGGGGCGGGGGCGGTGGCCCACGGGGCACGTGGCTCCGGGTCCGGGCTGAGCGACGCCCCCCCCTCCCGTCCCCCGGCGCCGGCCCGTCCCCGCGTGGCCGCGGCCGCGGGGGCAGAGGGAGGGAGGGCGGGGCGCGCGGGCGGCGGCGGCGGCGCCGGGCGGCGCCGGGGAGGGGGTCGCGCGGGGGCGGGCCGCGGGCCGGGCGGGGGTCGGCGGGCTTCCGGGCGGCGGCGGCGGCGGGCGCGGCGCGATGTGCGAGCGGGCGGCGCGCCTGTGCAGGGCCGGCGCGCACAGGCTGCTCCGGGAGCCGCCGCCGCAGGGCCGGGCGCTGGGCGGGCTGCTGCGCTGGGTGGGCGCCAGGATGGGCGAGCCCCGGGCGCCGCTGGCCCCCGACGCCCCCGACACCCCAGCAGCGGACCCCGGCCCCTACCCGGGCCCCGCCTCGCCGCGCGGGGGCACCGCCGTCATCCTGGACGTGAGTACGCGCGGGCCGGGACCCGTTCTCCCCCGCGGGCGACGCGGACGCCGCGCTCCCGGGTCCCCGCCGGCACCTGCAAGACCCCCTTCTCCCTGGAGGGCAGGGGTCCCCAGGCAGGGACGCCGGCCCCCACCCGCAGCGGTCCAGAGCGGGATCCACCGGCTCCTCCTAGTACAGATCGCGGCCCCCAGCTGCTCTGCCCCCCGGGCCGGTTTCCGTGCGGGTCCTGTCTCGTCCTCGGACTGGAACGGCCCCTTTACCTCCCTCCGCCTCTCGGGATCTCCACGTTCTCGGAGCCGGGACCCTGGAGCCCCTCGACCCGGCCACCGCCCCCTACTTCTGTCCTGGCCAAACCCTCATCTTTCTCCAGCCCGCACTTCATCCTTCACCCCGCTCCTTCCCGGGACGCGAGTCCCGGACCGGCGTCGGTCCCTCCTCCTGCCCCCCGTCCTTATTTTTCTAAGACTCTTCCCCCCAACCCACCCCATCACACACACAATTCCTGGGTCCGGGGCCATTTTTCTTGTCCGAGCTCTGGACCCTAAGCCCTTGTATCCTCAACCCTTTTGCCTCAAGCACCACCTTTTTAAAATCAAAGCCCCTCCCCACCTGTCTTCCCCTCTCCTTTCAGCAGGATTGGAACCATCCCCCATCCTCTATGAGGACCACCACTCCATTCTGAGCCGTCTGTCCTTGATCCCCTTCCACCCCATCCCTCCCCTTCCTCTCCCTCCTCCTCCCCCACGCCCTCTGGGGCCCAAACCGCCCCAGCTCACCCGCCCACCCACTCCCCTCCGTAGGAGGGAGCTTCTACAGGGTGGGTGGCTGCCAGGGTCGGGGGGCATCCCCCGTGGAGTGCTGGGAGGGGTGGAGGGAGCTTTGCCCACCCCAAGGGAAGCGTGGCAGTAGGGTGTGCCTGTCCTAATGAGGGTCCTCCGTGGTGGGTGACACGGGGGTGGGGGTGCCATGTTTGTGTAAGGTGGGTGGGTTTCTGGGAGAGGTGTGTGTATCACATCCTGCTGAGTGGGGGACAGTGTGGGTTTCCTCTCGCCCCCGCCCCCCTCCCCCACGTTCCTGTTGGAGCCCCCATGGCTGGCTCTGAGCCGAGAGGGCAGGGGAGGTCTGCAGCAAGTGGCCGTGGCTCCCGGGCTTCTCAGAACACGCTCACACACAGCCCACACACGCCTGCACAGGTGAACCCTTTCAAAGCCCCGGTGGAGTTTACAGCTGAAAGCCCTTGCAGCGGAGAGCTCTGTCCAGGGCCCCCCACCCCTTCACACAGGACAGGACGTGGGCTCTGGGGTCCTCACGCCATGCTGGCCTTGAGCCAGCTCTGAGCCTTAGTCTTCCCATCTGTGAAATGGGGGTGATGAGCGAGTGCCAGGGCCACATCTCCTGTCGGGTCAGTCACTTGTTTAACGCTCACGCCCAGCCCCGAGCGTTTAAAGGTGGGACTCCAGCCTCCTCAGGAACCTTGCAGTCAGGAGCAGGCGTGTGGGGTGCACAGGCTGGGGTGCTGGCAACTGTCCCCTTTTCTGCCTCAGCCACAGTGGCTTCAGACCCGTGTCCCTTGCCCCGACTTGGGGTTCAGCTCAAGGAAGGGGGAATTTTTTGAGAATATCCTTCCTGAGCTGCTGCTTCAGTTTGTCACAGCCCCAGGTGCCCGACAATGGATGCCCCCCTATGGCTTGGAGGCAGGAGATCGGCTCCCTCCCGCTCTCCAAGGTGTGAGGGGGCAGCGTCTCCCCCTCTTCCTGCCCTCAGCAAGGCTTGCGTGCATGCATGCTAAGTCGCTCAGAAGGGTCTGACTCTTTGCGACCCCATGGATCCTGCCAGGCTCCTCTGTCCATGGGATTCTCCAGGCAAGAACACTGGAGTGGCTAGCCTTTCCTTTCTCCAGGGGAATCTTTCTGACCCAGGGATTGAACCCAGGTCTCCTGCGTTGCAGGCAGATTCTTTAGCATCTGAGCCACCGGGGAAGCCCCCAGCAAGGCTTACTAGGTCCTAAAAACCCCAGGCGGAGGAGCTATCTGGTTTCACCTGAGGCTGAAGGGGACCGGGCTGCCCCTCCCCTCCCCTTCCCCACCCCTCCTGAGCTCCCAGCGGGCTGCTCCGTCCCACTGACCCCCACACCCCTGCCATTCCCTGGCACATGGTCCCGAGGCCAGGCCTCGAGGTTCCCTTGGCAGCCACCTCTGTTCAGATTTAACCCACCCTCCCTGGAGAACACCAGGGTCCTGGTGGGGGTGTAAGGTGAGTGGCTGCCTCCCAGGAATGGGAGTGGGAGCGTGCGGCCGCCTGCGGGTGCGACACGTCGTGGGCCGAGGGTTCTGGACCTACACCCAGGCACACGGGATGGTGTGCGCGTTTGTCCACGCATGCGCTCGACCACATGGCCAGCGGCGCCCGAGGAAGAGGGGCCGCTGCCTGAAACGCCCTCCCACCCGCGGGTCTCCTTCCTCTGGAGGGTGAAGGGGCCCGGCTTCCCAGGACCACTGGGCTGGGGGTGTTGGAAGCCTGCTCTTCCCGGCCGATGCTGACTCGACCTCTCTTCTCTACAGATTTTCCGCCGTGCGGACAAAAATGGTGAGTCTCCCCACACCCCACCCCACCCCCCGCTGTCCCCGAGTGAGGACCTAGATCTTTCTAGTTGGTGGGGGCGGGGTGCAGGACGCTGCCCTGCACCTCAGTTTCCCCATGCTATGACGGGACCCCCGTGGTTCCTACTGAGCAGGGGAGCCCTGCAGCTTCAGGGGGCAGGTGTGGGCAATGCGCTGAGGTCAGCGCTTGATGCGCTTCAACTTCCTGCAGCTGGGCCGGGCCAGGGGCACCCAGGAAGCCCCCAGCCTCACCCCAGGCCCCGGCACACTTCCTCCTCAGACGTCCACGCAGCCGCCCCTGTTCTGTCAACTCCGTGGTGGCCCAGAGAAGTTCTGTCTTGCCCGGGGTCACCCAGCTGTAGGAAGGCTGTCCAGGCTCTGCTGCGGACCCCTGGCATTTCCTTCACCCCCAGCCCCCCAGCGAGACTTCTCGCACAAAGTGAGCATGGTGTCGAGGCCCGTGACCTCAGGACACCCACTGGGATTGCCCCACCCCGGCCTTTCTGGAAGGCAGGGGCCCCTGCCGAGAGCATTTGTCTACACACTGGAGTCGTCGTTCTTGGGTCGAAGCGGCTTCTGTGGTCTTGAACCAGGACACAGTCCCACTTTAGGCCTCAGTTTTGCCACGTCTAGAGTGGAGTGATAATACTTAACCTGTCTACGTCCCAGGGCTGTTGGGAAAATGAAGGGAGGAGACGTGGCTGGTGAGCGTTGTGGGAGAGAAGCAGGCAGTGCTTAATGCTAACCCCTTGAGAAAATACTGATCGAGTATCCAGGCCCCTGCCGAGGGAGGGGTGGGCACAGCTGCCCCGGCGCCCGCCCCCAGCCCCCTCCCTGCTGACCCCGGGAGTCACTGTCTTGCTGTCCCTGCCTGGTACTGAGGCGAGACCATGAGACCTGGGCTGGCCGCCAGTGCCCAGGGGTTCTCCATCTCTCGCGCCCCCATTCCCGGGTGTGATGGGGGCCCCTCCCAGGCCTCTGGGAGGCAGCAGCAGCCTCAGGAGCAGTTCCGCAGGGAGCATGGAGGAAGCGGAGGGACACGGTGGGGGGACTTCAGCAGCAACCGAGAAGTCATCGTGACTTCGCAGGCTGAGCGGTGTTAGAGACTAGAGGAGAAGGTCCGGGGGTTTGATCCCCTTGCAGGCCTCTCGGAACCTTCTAGTGCATGGCCGGCCAGGGGCCACGTGGTCATTGCCGTGTGTGCTGGCCACGCCCCTCAGCGGATGGCGAGGTGTCACGCTGAGGGATTTGGGCTTGTCCCTGTCGTGGGCCCAGCACACAGGTGGTCCTCGGTGCCCGGCTGCTGCCTCACAGGTGGTGACCGGGTGTGACTCCTGGCAGTGTGGTGTGTGCGTGCCCGGGGGCAGCCGTCTGGGTGTGGCTGCAGGTCTGTCTCTGTCCGTGCTTCAGAACCTGTGTGTGCGGATCTCTGTGACCACTGCTGCACACGCTGGCTGTGTGTGGAGTTTTATGTGTGTGTCCTTCTGGATGCTCAGCTCTGCAGGAGCCTTTGCAGTGTGTGGGTGGCAGGCGCCCTGGTCTCCCTTCAGGCAAGATTGCTCGCCTCGTCCTCATTGCTCAGCCCCCCCACCCCCCACCCTGCTGCCATCAGAGACTGTGTTTCCACCCCCCAAGCACAGCTTCGGGGACCCTCGACTTTGCTTCTGTGGCCCCCGCAGCGGCCCCAAGTCCCCTCCTCTCCCTGGGACTTTCGTCTTCCTGGCCGCTGCCAGTGGCCGTTAGGGGGGTTCACGTGGGATGTGCTGGTCCCCGGGGAGCACCCCCCTTTTGCTGCAGGGACTGCCTGGGCTCAGCTCCCTTCCAGCTCTGACCTCAGGCCAGTCCCCAGACTCTCAGGGCCTCAGCGTCCCCATCCATGGGTGGGGATGGTCATGCTGGTACCCATCTTGGGGTGGGGCTGTCGGGGATGGAGTGGGGCTCGGGTCCTGGCATGCTGTAAGGGATCTGTGAGCCCTCATGCCAGCTGATGAGCATTGAGCCTTGGAACATGGGCGGTGATTTGTCAACAAGTGTTGGGTTCCCACCCTGGACTTCACGGGGCATCACCATCTGGTGGAGACTGCTGGTGGCTGAGGAGCATCCATTACACACCAGACTTCCTCATTGGACATTCCCTTGGGTCCTAGTGGCAGAGGAACATCACCCCCCCTTTTTTTTTTTACCTGTGACGGAATCAAGGCTGGGGAGGACATGCGAAAGATCACAGAGCCTGGGCTGGCGGGCCAGGCAGGAAGTTCTGACTGAATCCAGCCCAGCTTGCAGACATCGTGTGGGCAGGGGAATGGGAGAAGGGGTGAGTGTGGGTGTAAACAGGGGCACACGGCAGGTGTGCAGACACACACATGTAGCACAGGTAGATGCCAGCTCTGCCCCCAGCGTCCACAGCAGCAAGACGCCTGCAGGGATGGCAGGATGGTCCCAAACGAGGCCCCGGACCCCGGGTTGCAGTGGAATCAGCCTCTGGGATTACAGGAGCAAGGGCTCAGCTCGGGCTGGCCCGTCCTGGCGGCTCCCAGGTCAGAGGCATCTTCGTGGGGGTGAGGGTGGAGACCGGCCGTGGCCCCCGAGGGGAGGCAGAGAGTAGGGGGCCTGCCTGGCAGCTGGGGGTCTGGGGCCCAGAAGGGTGGTGTGGCGGCCGGCAGAGGAGCGAGTGCCAGTGCGTCTCCCTCCAGGGGCCGGGGCGCCAGCAGACTCTTGGCGTTTGAAAGGTCACTGGGACGGAGGCTGAGCTCCTGCTCATTAGTGTGGACACTTTCAGACGGCCCGCTCAGGGGTCCTGGATGTGCAGGCCCGCTGGCTCCTCTAATTGCACAGAGGCCCCGGGCAAATGCCGCCTCCCTCATTAGCTGATCTGGGTTCATTAGTGCTGTGCTGGGACGTTCACGGTAAATGTCAGCCCAGAAGGCTCTGGGCCCTGGAGGCCGGTGGGCCCCTCTCTGCCTGTTCTGAGTGCAGGCTGGTTGGAGGTGCTGGCGGTGCCCTGCCTGTGGCAGACACGAGGAGTCATTCACAGCACACTCCCCCTGAGTGCAGGCCTCGCCGCGGCTTCTCCGTGTGGCCTGGGGTTGCAGATCCCGTCAGAAGGCCCTGCCCCAGGTCGGGTTGGGAGTGTGTACTCAGGAGCCGGGCGGCCTGGGTTTGAGCTCCCACTGAGGGACCTGGGCACGTCCCGTAACTGGCCTGGCCTGTCTGCTCTGAGAACGGGGGGGTGGTGGTCTGCCAGGCGGTGTGTGAGGACCAGACGTGTGAACACACACAGCCCATGTGTCTGCCCTGGCTCTGCCCCTGGCTGCTGGCTCATCATCAGTCTTGCTAAAGGAAATTTGGAAAGCGTCCTCTTTCACAGGAGACAGAGCCATAGCTTAGCGTTTATGTATTTCACAGCTGTTACCCTGCACTTTTTATGGTTGGTTTTTGGGTCTTCGTGTGTGATTGGGGAGGGGAGGGCGTGTTTGTTTTCTCTTCAGGGGGACTCTGGATTTTGAGAGTTAGAAATTCATCCTCCCATTCGTGACATTAAAACCCGAGCCGGGATGTTGGAGGCACACGGCATGTTGCCCCAGCCCCCTCATATGCAAGCCTGCGCCTACTCTCTCATATCCCCCCTCTCAGCATGGGCGGAGGGGAGCCACTGGAAGATGTGAGGAGCTCACTGTCTCCCGTTGCCCTACTTTGAGCCCCTGCAGAGCTGCTGGCAGCAGAGTAGAAGCTCCAGAGCCTTTAAAATGTACAGTGGGGACTTCCTTGGTGGCCTAGTGGTTAAGATTCACTGCTCCCACTGCAGGGGGCACAGGTTTGATCCTTGGTCAGGGAACTAAGACATTGCATACTGCTTGGCACAGCCAAAAATAATAAACTAAAATGAAGATAAAACACAGAGGTAAAATGCCTTTGAAAAAAAAAGAAACATATGAGTGACTTCCACCCTGGACCTAAGTAGGTCTGCCATGTCTGGTTGGGCATGTTGTGCACTGTGCAAGGGCACCTACTTGAGAGAATTGAGGACCTCAGATCAAGCCTGCTTGCCCCTCCCCTCAGGAGCTCTAATGCTGGGCTGCATCTCCACCACCCTCCCCACCAGGAAGGGCATTTCCTTCTAATCCACACGAAGCGCCACATGGGCTCTCAAGGGCTTTGAGTGAAGACTGGCTGGAAGTAATGAAGGGAGTCTATGGAGAGGGGCTGGAGCCAGAAGGGTCTTGGGCTCTGCCTTCTCCCTGACTTCCAGTGCCTCCCACAGATGTGCCTTTGGGGGGAGGAGCAGGACCGATCTAAGGTCATTGAGGAGGGGGTCGTGGCTTCAGGGGTGGGATTGGGAGATAAGTGTGCTGAGCTGGAGAGCCCAGGTGGGAGGAGCTGGAGTTCTGCTTGGAGCCCCTCTCTCAGGGGCCCAGCTGCCCCCGATCCGTGAGAGCTTCCCCAGCAGATGCTGCTACTCAGGGCGACAGCGGTGGAGGCTGAAGACGTGAGATGGGGAGGGACGCATTGGGATAGGTGTGTGCGCTGTGGGGGCCCCTCGTCCAGAGCCCCGCCCCGGGCCTGCCGCCACCTCCCCTTGGGCTCTGGCATCCTCAGGGCTGCATCCACGGTCCGGCGAGGAGTCTGTGACACTGCTGGCAGCGGGTCACGTCACACCCTGCAAAGGCAGAGAGGAGAGGTCATTGCCTCCCCAGGCAGGACCTGGGTGCTGAGGTAGAGATGATTTAAATGTGCAGAGGTTCTCTGGGCTTTTGGAAGCAAGTGAGAGTGGTCCTCAGACTGCCCAGGTTTAAACTTGCCTCTTACAGGGATGGGATCCCTAACCTCTGGGATCTAATGCCTGATGATCTGAGGTTTGATAAAATGATAGAACTAAAGTGCACAATGTGCTTGAGCTGTCCTGAAACCACCCCCTCCCCCTGGTCTGCGAAAAAGTTGTCTTCCATGGAACCAATCCCTGTTGCTCAAAAGGCTGGGAACCGCTGGAGGTAACAGGTGTGGGGTTACCTACCTCCAGCTGGGCAGGTGACTCAGAGAGACGGCTGCCTAACAGGTGTTCTCTCTGCCTGTTGCCTGCAGGGCTTGAGGAGCCCCAGTATTTGCTGGTGAGGCGAGTCCCGGTACATGGGTGTTGCTCTGTTGGGTAGGGAGTTAGCTGAGTGGGCGGCTGGTCTCTGTGAAATGGTGGCTGCTGTGGGTTCATGCCGCGGGCAGGGGTGACCTGTGTGGGAGTGTGGCTGCTGGTTGGGGGGTTGGCAGGGGCGGGCGGGGATTGCCTGGCTGTGGCTCCTCTGTTGATTTGGGGATGTCCCGTCACTTCGACACCAGCTGCCCTCCCTTCCCCTCCCTCACAGATGACGGGAAGTTGTCCTTGGAGGAGTTCCAGCTCTTCTTTGCAGATGGCGTCCTCAATGAGAAAGAACTGGAGGATCTCTTCCACACCATCGACTCCGACAACACCAAGTGAGCTCAGTCTCGGCTGCTGGAACTGGGAGGTGGCATCGCCCAGTCTCCAGTGCCCACTCCCCTGGACCTCTAATCCAGAGTCCCATCTCTTTGGCCCCCACTGGCCAGGGTGGTCTGGGGAGTGGACAGATTGAGATTGTGTTGGCAAGTGTTTGTCTTTTCTGAACGCAATGTGGCGAAGCAGGCAGAGAGCCTAGGTTTGCAGAATATATGTGCATGCGTGCTGAGTCGCTTCAGTTGTGCGACCCCATGGACTGCAGCCCACCAGCCCCCTCTGTCCATAGAATTCTCCAGGCAAGAATACTGGAGTGGGTTGCCATGCCCTTCTCCAGGGGATCTTCCTGACCCAGGGATCAAACTCACGTCTTACATTTCCTGTACTGGCTGACAGGTTCTTTACCACTGTCCCATCTGGGAAGCAGAATATACACCAGATGACAAAGGGGTAATTGGCCAGCTCAGCTCAGATCCCAACACGAGCTTTGAGATCTTCTTCCTCACCGGGGCCAACCTTAGACCAGACTGGTCCTCACTCAGACCTAACCTTCCTTCTCACTCTCTACGTTTTCTCCAACCCAGCCAGAACCCTAACCTGCAGCTCAATCAACCCCGAACTCCTCCAGCCCCAGCCAATCCCTAAATCCAGCGCAAAATGCACACTCTACTCACGGACCAGACTGACCCTTCCCACCCTGAACTTCAGCCCTGCCCTTTCCGAGTGGTGGCCAGGCAGGGGGAGGCCCTGGCCGCTTCTCCACCCCACTCAGGTGATGAGGACCCAAGTTCCTGGGGCTGCTGGGGGGCAGGTTTGATAGGCTGGGGTCCCCTATGCCGGGCTAGAGGTGGTCTGGAGGAGGAGCTGTCCCCAGGCCCGTTGGCAGGGGGCCCAGGTTGGAGGTGGCCTGGGGCCAGGGTGGGGCAGGTGGCCGGGAAAGGCCACTTGAAAGGGACTGCTTCCTGCCGCAGACCCCAGGGGAGGGCTTTGTGTCTGGAGCCAGATGGAGGTTCTGAGTGGGTCCTGCAGCTCCCCTGGGAGCTTGAAAGGGCTTTGCAGATGCCCACAGATTATTCAGCCTCATTCGGGCAGCTGGAGCAGGGCGGCGGAGGCACTGATGTGAGTGCGGGCGGGGTGGACTTCCCATCAGCAAAAAGTCAGAGCTCTAAAGACCTTTGGGTGTTTTGTCTCCAACACTCCCTAGAGTGTGAGCTGTAAGCATTCCCTCCTGGGGATGCTAGACAGGTTTGCTACCCCAGACCGTCCGCACGTGGCTCTGGAAGGTTGGTGCGATGCTACTTTGAGCACCATGAAGCAGGCTTCCTCTCTGCAGGACCTATGAGAACATGACCCTCATGGTGCGTTTTGGGGGGAGCCTCCACAACAGAGTTTGCAGAGCCTCTGATCTGGGAACGTTTCCCCTGAGCCATCTCGATGAGGCTGGCTTGCTTTTGAAGCCAGCCCCTCCTCTCCTGGTGAGGGAGCCGGCCTCGGAAGATGCACAGAGCTGGGTCCCCAGGCGCTCGCCCCCAGCTCCTGCTCACAGCGTCTGGGTTCTGAGGCTACTGCCTGCACCTGCCCGGCGTGGGTGGCCCGTGCTCGGCCTCTGAGGAAAGACCCAGAGCCTTATGGCTGTAGGAACAGGAACACGGGACCCCAGGGCTCGAGTGAGAACAAGGGGGGCACACCCTCCGACAGGGCAGGGCCTGGGGCTGAGGTCGCCAGACAGCTCCGGTGACAGCTGTCACAGCCCCTGGTTTAGCCCCCTCTGCTCCAGATGCGCTGGACAGACTCGGGGAGAGGAACGGGGTGGGTGGTGTGGTGACAAGGTCAGACAGACGCACAGACGCGGACCCTCTGGACGGGGTGGCGGCCTTCACCGGCTGCTCCCTCATCTGTGAAGTGGGGGCCACCTAGGCTGCGAGGGTAGGGGTGTTGACCCACCGCTGGGGGCTGTGCTCACCCCGGAGGGAGAAGGGTGGGGGCCAGGGGGACAGACCTGCCTCTGAGCCCCCCTCTCTCTCTGCATGCAGCCATGTGGACACCAAGGAGCTGTGTGGTAGGTGCCGCTGTAGGGGGACCCAGACTTGGGTGCACGGTGATTCTGTGGGGGGAGGGGCGCAGGCGGCTTGGAGGGAGGACCGGGGGGGAGGGGCGCCATGCTTCTACGACCTTTGACTTCTGCTTTCCCTCCTCCCCCACAGACTACTTTGTGGACCACATGGGGGACTATGAGGACGTCCTGGCTTCCCTGGAGACCTTGAACCACTCCGTGCTGAAGGCCATGGGCTACACCAAGAAGGTCAGCGGGTGTGGGCAGCCCTGGGGGTCGAGGGCCTGAGCACTGGTTTGGGTCTGAGAGCATCCTGGCCCAGGGGTGCCTGGGTCTGTGATGACAGGTGTTGGGTGAAGCCAGCTCTGAAGCCAGCATTGCTTGGGTGTCTCAAGGTCACGTGGCGAACTGGAACGAGGGGAGGGGCTTGGGGATGGGTCTGTCCAGGAGCGTCCAGTTTGGAACATGAGGCCATTTCCTGGCATCGGGCTCAGTCCTGGGACGCAGTCCTAGAGAGGGAGTGGACTCCAGGCCCAAGAACAGGTATCAGCCGTGCCGGTCTCACGGCCTTTGCAGCCGATTACAGAGGAGGAAGGAAGAGGGTGGACGCAAGCCCCTGACCTTGACCAGGAGCCCAGTGTGTCTGGGGCAAGCATGCCATGTCCAGGTCGGGAGACGGGAGCTGGGCGGTGGAAGCATCAGGAGTGTTGGCTGAGTTCAGGACTCCCCGCGTGTCCTGGAGAGAGAGCCCCAGCGTGGCTTCAGGCATAGGCCGGTCACTTTGTTGGCATCCGTGCCCTGGAGGAGGGCACAAGGGGGGAGATGGGGCAGGTCATGGGCCGGGTGGTGGCGTGGCTCAGCTGGCCACAGGCAGCCCACCTCCTGGCGCCACATCCCAGCTGAGAGTCTGCACCCGCGCTCGCTGGTGCTTCTGGGGGTGGGGGCGCAGGCAGGGTGTGTTCCATCTCTCCGTCCACACACGAGAGGCACGTCAGTTTCCTGAGGATCTACGCCAGCAGGATTTAGCGCTCACTGTAATCCCCCCAGTGACCCTGTGGGCTGTGACTGTCGCTGCCACCAGCCTCCTTTGCTGTTTGTGTTTTGACTGCACCGGGCCCTCGTTGCCACGCACAGGCTTTCTGGACTGTGCCGAGAGCGAGTTACTCTTCGCTGCGGTGCTCAGACTTCTTTGCTCCAGGGCACAGGCTCTAACGGCTCACGAGCACAGTTGTGGTGGCGCATGGGCTGAGTTGCTCTGCGGCATGTGGGGTCTTAGTTCCTGGACGAGGGATTGAACCTGGGTCCCCTGCATTGGCAGGCAGACTCTCAGCCGCTGGACCACCAGGAAAGTCCACTCCCCTCCCTTTCACAGCTATGGAAATAGAGGGCTCAGGAAGGTGAACCTGGCAGAGTGGTGGCCAGACAGCCAGAGCTTCCTGCCAAAGTGGGAGGGGAAACTGAGTCAGGGACCCAGCCCGAGGTATGGAGCACAGCCTGGGGCCGAGCTGTCCGGGGCATGGGGGGGCCACGCCATGCTGGACGGGTGTCACACCGGAGGGTGTGCAGCCCCTCTGAGCGCTGGGAACTCGGGAAGGAGCAGCCCCACCTGCTGGTTGAGGCCAGGAAGCTTAGCTGGTAAAGTCCGCCAGACCAGGCCAAAGGACCCCGGCCAGTCACTTCTCTTTCTGAACCTCAGTTTCTCCAGCCGTGAAATGGGAGCATTCACCTTCAAGAGTCCTCGCAAGGCCTGAATAAAGTGAAAGGTCTCTAAGCTGCTGAGAGTAGGTCCCGCACGTAGCAGACGTGACTAGCAGTGTCATCAGGCCCCTGTTGTGTGCCCAGTCCCAGGAAGGATCAGTGCCGTGTGCTTTTTCCACAAGCTACCCGGCTCCCGCCCTACCCCGTGTCAGGGAATCTGCCCCCCGCCCCCCCATATATCCACCAACAGCTGGGCCTGATCCCAAACTGCCACAGCCCCACACTTCCGTTTCTGTCTTCCCATCGTGCTGTTTTGAGTCTTGGTGTGTTAAAGTATTTTTTAACATTGCGTGAGACCACTTCCCTTTCATTGCTCATCCTGTTGATAGTCTGAAAATACCAAGACGGACAGTGGCTTGAGCAGGCCACAAGGAAAGCCCCCACCCCCGGAACCCTTGCACAGACAATGTGTCAGCCCCAGCTCTGTTCCTCACGGGCTGTGTGAGGTGTGCCAGCTGTCCGTGCGGGACTCCTCGCAATTGAAGTCGCCACCCTGAGCCTCAGTTTTCAAATCTGTGAATGGGGCCGCTGCCCAGCAGTGCTTCTTGGCATTGCTAACATGCACTTGTCTCTTGGACTTTGGGCTCAACAGTTCAGAGAGGTGACACAATTCTCCGTCAGGGAGAGGATTTTAATGCCTGCCAGTGCAACATAGAGCAGTTTGGGGGATTTTTGCTCTTGGAAATCTTGCAGCCTTTGGTGTGTTCCTAGTGGTGGTGGTGATGGAAGATTGTCCCAATGGTAACTGGCATTTCTTTGTTTTTTAATTGAAATATACGTGATTTACAATGTTGCGTTAATTCCTGCTGTATAGCAAAGTGATTCAGTTATACATATATACATGTTCTTTTTTAAAACAGTCTTTTCTGGTTTGTCATAGGATGTTGGATATAGCTCTGTGTGCTCTATAGCCAGACTTGTTGTTTATCCGTTTTATGTATAAAAGCTTCTATCTGCTAACCCCAACCTCCCACTCCATCCCTCCACAACCTTCTCCCCTTGACAACCACCCGTCTGTTCTCTGTGTTTGTAATTTTGTTCATTTCATAGATGAATGCATTTGTGTCGTGTTTTAGATTCCGCATATAAATGATATCATACGGTATTTGTCTTTCTCTGTCTGGCTTACTTCACTTAGTATGATAATCTCTACTTGCATCCATGTTGCTGCAAATGGCCTTATTTCATTCCTTGTTTTATGGCTGAGTCATCTTCCATTGTATGTATTTTTTAAGGTTTATTTTTTATTTATGGCGGCACTGGGTCTTTGTTGCTATGCGGGCTTTCTCTCGTTGCCGTGAGCGGGGCTACTCTCGTTGCAGTGCCCAGGCTTCTCCTTGCCGTGGCTTTTCTTGGTGCAGAGCACAGGCTCCAGGCACGTGGGCTCAGTAGCTGCGGCTCCTGGGCTCCAGAGCAGCGGCCCAATAGTAGTGGCTCACAGACTTAGTCGCTCTGTAGCATGTGGCATCTTCCCAGACCGGGGATCAAACCCGCATCTCCTGCATTGGCAGGTGGATTCTTTACTGCTGAGCCCCCAGGGAAGCCCTCCATTGTATATTGTCTTTGGTTTAAGTGGTGTATCACACTGATTTGTGCATTGTTGAACCCTCCTTGTAAACTTGGGATGAATCCCACTTGGTCATGGGACCTTTTTATGTCATGGTCATGATCTTTTTTATGTGTTATTGGGTTTGATTTGCTAATATTTTATTGAGAATAGCATTTCTTTTTCTTATGTTTTCTCATCAGTTTTCGTCTGGAGAAATGAAGCTCAGTGATTATTTAAAATACTTCTCTTGTGTCCATTGGCTTTAGTTGACTTGTTTGCTTTTGCAGATATGTGATCCTAGTAGCACTGTTAGCTAGTATAGTTATCTTCATTTCTGGTTTGTGCTCCTACTCTTTCTCTGTTGTGTTCTGTTGCATTTTCCCCAAATTCTCAGACACTGTAATATGTTACGTTGAGCATCCTTGTTTCACTTCTGAGGTTCAAATGCATCTCTCTAGTCGTTCTTCACTAATTATAACATTAATACCAGGTCTTATTTTTAGAATCCTCTTCAGCCTGTAAAAAAATATTTTTGTATTCCTTTTATTAAATTTTGCCTTAGGGGGTGGTAGTGAATTCTTTCAAATACCATTTTGGTTTTTTTTCTTTTTCAGGGATCATATGATTTTTCTTGAACTATTGATGAGGTTGATTCTATTATTAGATTCTCTCCTGTTGAACAGTCCTGAGCCTCCTGTGATAAACCCTAATTGGCACATTTTTCTTTTACCATAGTGCTGAATCCTTGTCACTAGCTGAGCGTTTTATCTCTGTCTGTATCAGAAATTGAGATTGGATGATAGTTTGGGACTGAACTGTAGGTGGTTTTGCATATCTTTCTGTGTGTGAATCAGCTTGTCTAACTCAGAGTCATTTTTCTGTTCAAAAATAGAATTAACGCATAGCCTTGGGTTGAGGTACTTAAACAGGAGGAGAGGATTATTTTAATAGTGATCTTAAAGTCAGTCTTATTTTTAGTTAAATTTTTGGTGTTCATTTTATTATATTTTTAAACAGAACTGCCGTGGACATGTTCAGTTTTATGACCAATCATGCTTAGCATGTTCTTATGCTTTTTTAAAATTCTTAACCACTCTCTGAAACAAGACAGACACATAATTCAGATTAAAGTCAATAAAACACCTGCCGATAGAGCTCAGGCCTTGATTTAATTTTTTTCCTATTTTGCTGCGTTTAGACTTCTGTTTGACAGTTTTGCCTGTTTTAATTAGCTGTTTCTAGAAATGAGCCCCTGACACGTTTATTTAGCTTTCATATTATAGTATGTTTTCTTGTTGTTCAGCCCCTCAGTCATGTCTGACTCTGCGACCCCATGGACTGTGGCACACCAGGCTCCCCTGTCCTTCACTGTCTCCTGGAGTTTGCGCAAACTCGTGTCCACTGAGTCAGTGATGCCATCCAACCATCTCATCTTCTGTCATCCCCTTCTCGTCATGCCCTCAGTCTTTCCCAGTATCAGGGTCTTTTTCAGTGGGTTGACTCTTCTCATCAGGTGGCCAAAGTATTGGAGGTTCAGCTTCAGCATCAGCCCTTCCAATCAATATTCAGGGTTGATTTCCTTTAGGATTGACTGGCTTGATCTCCTTGCTGTCCAAGGAACTCTTAAGGGTCTTCTCCAACACCACAGTTCAGAAGCATCAGTTCTTGGGCATTTCGCCTTCTTTGTGAAGTCCAATTCTCAAATCTGCATGTGACTGCTGGAAAAACCATAGCTTTGACTCTATGGACCTTTTTGGCAAAGTGATGTCTCTGCTTTTTAATATGCTGTCTAGGTTGGTCATGGCTTTTCTTCAAAGGAGCAAGTGTCTTTTAATTTCATGGTTGCAGTCACCGTCTACAATGATATGGAGCCCAAGAAAATAAAATCTGTCACTGTTTCCATTCTTTCCCCATTTATTTGCCATGAATTGATGGGACTGGA